GATCGTGGATCGGGTGATCGGGATGCGGGAGTTCCCGCGGGGCATGGACTGCGACGGCAAGGCTTCCATGCTGGAGGAGTGCGCCCGTCGCGCGTGCCAGACGGCAGGCGGGGAGCTGGACGGGGACTTGCACAAGCATGTGCGACAGGAGACTCGGGCATGGTGCAGCGATGGGGCGGATCTAAGTGTACCCCTGGCTGCAACAGCTACGTTCCCTGGGCTGGCGTTTCACGCGTGGGACGAGTCTCACTCGCCCCAGAAGGTTCTGGCCAATTCGATGAAAGGAGACAGCGAAATAACGACCACGGACGAGCTGCTGGCAACGGGTAGGGGGCCGCCAAGTCTGGCCAAGTCCCTGACTACCTCCACCGTGTTCCGCAACGCACTCGGGGAGCAGCAGCTGGTGGAAGACGGCGCTGCGTTCGTCAAAAACTTCGGCCGGGCACCCCCAGCGTTTCAACAGTCGGGCGAGGCCCTTGGCACGGGAAAGTCGGCGTTGGGAAGTCATTTTCGAGGCGCTCGGAGTGGAGTCCCAGGGGGAGGACAAAGATCGGCGCATTCCTGCCCGACAGATTCTGGAAGGGCTCGGGGGCGAGAACAGTTCGCGCCTGCTCCTGGGGGGGTTGCTGGCCGACTTGAGCGCGGGGCACTATTCCTGGGTCGCCACCGGAGACAAGAGCAACCCCGACGCTGCCAGCGTTCAATCCAGGGCCGCCGCTTTCCTCTCCAAGCTGGATACATTGTTCGTCCGGGGGGATATTCTGGGCATCCCCAACACGTTTACTGGCGTCACCCTCAGGTTTCTGAAAGCCGCGAAGCGGTTCGCGTGCGGCACTGGCGTCCAGACCGTTGGTATCGGCGATTGGGGAACGGAGCCCCGAGCCCGCGAAGCCGTCCACGCGGCTCTTCGACGAGCGCAGGGGATCGTGGCCAATGTGAAGGAGAACATGAAGCTATATCGGCCAGAGCATTCTTGGTTGCACGCTTTTGCAGCCTTTCGCTTGCCTTCCCCCCTGTCCCTGTCTGCAACAGAGCATGCAACAGAAGCCGAGGCCTGTTTGAAGCGCATCTGCCAGGCGGCAGGCCTCCCCGAGCGGGAGGCAATCTCCCGGCTGCGGCAAATGTTGCCGCGCGCCGAGGTGCATCATCGAGACGGGGGCACCGCGCGGCAGGCTTGGGGCCGCGCTGCGGTGGAGTGGCCCGAGCTCCCCAGCGGCCGTCGCCTCGCGGAGCTCTTCCTTGTATGGAAAACGAGCACGGGCAACGTGGAGAGGCGATTCCGCCGTTTCTCGGAGGTGCATTGCCCCGAGAGGGCGCGGCTCCTCGACGCGTCCGTCGAGGAGTGCACGCTCGTGGACCAGGCGCCCTCCAGCAGGTTGCCGCGCGCGTGGCTGGACGACAACGAGAGCTCTGCCGCCAGTCGTTGGCACAGGCATGTGCTCAAGCTACATGAGGTCGCGCAGGGGAAGATCGTGCCGCTGAGGAGGGCCGAGAGGCGCGACAAGGGAAGCACGCGGGAGCCTGGGGCAGCACGTCGGACAGAGGTAGGCTTCGGGCGCAGGCGAGCAGCTGCCGTCGACGCCATGGTGGCCGCTTCCCCAAGCAAGCGCGCCCGCCTTCTCGCGGAGGGCGCCCCCGATCTCGCTGCGCTGGCTCAGGAGGCGGCCCAGGCGAGCGGCGCAGATCCAGTCGGGCCCGCTGCAAAAGTCGTCGCCGCCGTCGCCGAGCGGGAGGCCAAGATCCGAGAGCGCAATCTTGGAGGGGCGAAGGCCGCCGCCAAGGCCAGGAGTACCCGAGAGAAGAAAGTCCTGCGCAGTGCCAGGCCAGCTGCGGGCCGTGACGCTTACTTGCTGCCCCACCCGCGCCCCGCTGGGCCCATGCTGGCTCGCATGGTAGATGTGGGCGCTCGCAACAAGGCGCAGCGCTCGCGTTTCGAGGTGTTTCAGGACCCGGTGGACTTCCTGGACTATATTGCCCGTCATACGGCCAAGGGGAAGGGGAACGTAGTCTTGGCGGCAACAGCTGACACCGACTATTGCATCGCCGCCCAGATTGTAGCAGCGTTCACGGGAGCTTTTTTTTAACAACGCCGACTGACTTTGCACGGGAGGATTCTCCAAAAGGCATCCAGTACACGGAGAAGCTTCGGAACTCGAGCAAGAGCTACCACGTGGCTGTAACAGAGGCTCTCGCGGAAGACCTGCCTACACTGCCCCGCGTTTTGCGAGCGCTTGCCCAGACGCCGAGCGGGTGTGTGATCTATTACAAGAGCCCCAGGAAGCTCTGCAAGTTCTTCAAGAAGCAGGCCAATCCCCGCCCGGCGCAGCGAACTTGCGTGCTGTGCCGCTCGGGAGAAGAAGCGGGTGTCGACAAAGCCGTCAAACAGCTCTACAACAGCCCGAGGAACTGGGTTTTGCGTTTCGACGCGACGGTTGAAGCACTGTGCCCGGGCACCAAGGCTGTAACAGCGTGAGTAAGTAGCCCGTCCTATAGATTGCGATCGTGCCAGTTTTGTTGAAAAAGAGCGCCGCCCAACGTCGTCCGACCTTACCTCCCCTGCGCCCCTCAGTGGGCGCCGCTGCCGCGGGCGGCGCTGCCCGCCGCTGGGGACCTGAAGGTCGCCGATGGGGGTGGGGGGGGGGGGTTGCGGTTGCCCGTGGCGGCGGTTGTCGGCGGCGAGGGCGGGAGGGCGGGGGTGGGAAGCATCGGGCGCCCAGGGCCGCCCCCAGGGGGAGGGGGGCGAGGGGGGTGATGGGGCTGAAGGAGGAGGGGGGAGCAGGACGAGGCAGGAGTGGCGACGAGGCCGTCTTCCACCGCACTTGTCCAGCCCAGCCCCCAGTCCACCTACGTGTTCGCGTGCATGCGAGCGATCCCCATCGAAACCTCCAGAGCGATGACCCCCCCTCTTTTGCCACAGCTGAGACAGTTCAACCTTCCCATCCCCGTCGAAACCTCTGCAGTGATCTCATCCGAAAAGTTTGGGGATCTCTCTCTCCCTCTCTCTGTCTCCCTCGTCTCCGTAGCTGTCGGCTCGACTCCCTATTCTGCCCGCGCGCCGCGCGCGCGCTGTTCCAAGCCCGCTCCAGCTGCAACAGCGCAGATGGTCGGCAATGGCGGCAAGGGCAAGGGCGCCAAGGGCAAGGGCAACGACGACGCGCGCAAGGGCAAGGGCAAAAGGCGCCAGGTCAGACCAGCCAAATCTGGGCTAGCTGTAGTACCCCCCCCTCCCCCCTGTCTGATAAGAGCTCCCATGGAGCTCGAACATACCATGTTAGAGCTCCCATTGGGCTCTAACGTGGCAGGTTAAAGGATGTTAGAGCTGCTTTGGAGCTCTAACGTGCCATGTTAGAGCTCACCTGGAGCTCGAACATGGCATTCTAGATGATGTTAGAGCTCACAGGGAGCTCTAGCATGCCATGTTAGAGCTGCGTTGGAGCTCTAACATGCCATGTTAGAGCTCACCTGGAGCTCTAACATGGCATGCTAGATGATGCTAGAGCTCACAGGGAGCTCTAACATGGCATGTTAGAGGGTGTTAGAGCTCCATTGGAGCTCTAACATACCATGTTAGAGCTCCCATGGAGCTCTAACATGGCATGCCAGAGGATGTCAGAGCTCCCAGGGAGCTCTAACATGCCATGTTAGAGCTCCCACGCAGCTCCTACATAGCATATTAGATATCCCAGGGAGCTCTAACATAGCATGTCGGATATCCCCAGGGAGGTGTAACATATCAAGTTAGACGTCGAATTACACTACAGCTCCTCCAGTTTTGGCTAGTCTTCAGGTCGGCACCTGGGGTTACTTGCACAACCAGCGCAAAGGCTTGCGGAGCCAGAGGGAGCGGTGCGAGTTGAATATAAAGTTAGCGCGTCAGGAGGGCGAACACGATGAGGCGTTGGATCATGAGCGCCGCCTGCGCTGGGTCCAACATAAGCAGCAGCAGTTGGACAATGACGGCATGATGATCTTCGACCGTCCAGGGGTCTGGGAGGGCCAGGAGAGACCCTACGGATGCTTGGACGCGACCGCACGCAGGCAGTTGAGCGATGAGGAGATCAGGTGGAACACTGAGATGATAGACTGGGAGCGTTGGAACCCGCCAGGGGCGACTGGGATCGAAGACTGTGTACGGTACCAGTGGGATCTGCAGCGGTGGGTGAGGCAGCAGCGGCACCTGTCAAACGCCCAGAGTCGCCAGAGAGAGGCGTCGCCGCGCCAGCGCCAGTTGGCTGCAACAGCGTCGAGCGGGCGGCGAGAGGCAGCAACAGCTCGTGAGGGCGCAGGCGCTAGTGGCCCGCCGATGGCGGCGAGGAGCGGGCTCAGGCTGACGGAGCTTCCGTCGGAGGCCGACAGAACGCGGGCCCAGGCCGAGCAGTCGGGTGATCCGCACCACACGATTGTGATCTCCGACAGCGACTCTCCCCGAGAGGCTGGTGACCGTGCCCGCAGAGGCAGAGAGCGCACCCGCAGCACGGCGCGGGATGCTCCTCTCACGGCACGGACACGGCCAGAAATCCATGCACGGCGCGGGATGGGTGCTCCTCTCACGTCTCCGCTTCGGCAGGAGGAGAATGATTGGAAACAAAAGACTCCGTGGGCCAAGCACGCGCCAGCGAAGAGGGTCAGTGACACGCCCGCGGAGGGCCGGCCTCTTACGAAACGGATGCCCGCCCGCCCGCCCGCCACGGCCAATCGATTTATCGGGCAGGGTCGTGCCGCCGCCGCCGCCGATGACGAGAGAGCAGCTGCGACAAGAGGCGGACCACTACAAGCCCGAGCCAGAGCGAGCGCGGCAGGAACACATGGATGTTGAGCGGCGCATGCTGTTATCCCAGGCTCCACGTGGGCCAGCCACACGGGCGACGACGGTTTCTGCCACCACGAAGCACAGCGAGGAGCCTATCGAGCGCGGGAAACTTTTTAAGCGGCAGGCGGAACAGACGACGAATGCCCGCATAGCTGCAAGAGCCAAGGCAGCCTTCCCACTACGTGCAAAGGTCGGTCAGGCGGCGGAGCAGTCCAAAGGTTACAAGTCCATCGCCAAGTTGCCCCCCGAGGAGGCTGCAGTCGTCGAGCAGAGCAAGCCGAAGCGCCTTCCACCCTTTGTTTTGTCGTTCCCGCACGAGGCCAGTCCCGTGCTCCACAAGGACTGGACGCTGGTCGACGGTGCAGCGTGGGACCCCGACAAGTTTGTTCTGGAATTAAGGCTGCGGGGAGAGAGGAACAAGCTGATACATGAGTACCTCGAAGGCGGCTTCCCCGTGTGGTACCCGAGCTCGGGAAACTCCATGTGGCCTCTGGTGCAGTCGCCACATATCAACACGAAGTACATGTATTGTGTGTGGTATTGTCCTCTCGTGCGTCTCATCTTAGGAGCGTGCCACTCGTTCAGGGACCCTGGCATCCAGCTCGCTGGCCTCAGGTTGCCAGTTGACTTACTCAGGGGGATGGCAGTGAGGGGAATGGGAAGGGGCTGGGATGGGGACGGTTGCACGGAATCGGCAGAGTCTTTGTGGCCAGCGCTCCGCTGCAACAGCGCCTCCGTTCGGCGTGCCGCCGTTGTCGTGCTGGAGGCAGGTAATGTGTAGTTTCCTTTTCAAGCTCTCCCCAGAGGAGCGCCGCCCTCCGTCTCTCGGCGTGCAGAGGCCTGTCCACTAGGCTCCTAGCGATAGGCATGCGGGTGTGCGCCCGAGGTTCGATAGGGCCAGGCATCGTAGGAACAGCTGTTTATGCAGAGAAGCGTGACAACAAAACGGCGAGCTTCTCCGACTCGTCTCCCCTCGCCGTCTGCTGCGCCTCCGCTGCAACAGCTCCTCCGCCTCCCCACCCCCCAGGTCCCTGGTGGCGGGCGGCGCTGCCGCGGGCGGCCGCGGCGCCCCCGCAGGCCCACGTGGGGGAACCCGGATGACGATGACGAGGAGGGCGAGACTAAGAGGAGGAGCAGGAGGAGGAGTCCAGGTTGGAGGAGGGGGGTGGAGCGCATCACGCTCTGAGCTAAGGTGCCCGCGAGAGCATCTGTTACTGGCGCGAGTGGGAATGGGCCCACGATAGGACTCTGCGCATGTGCTGCGCATGGCTGGAACAGCGAGCGCAGGCGCTCCCATGCATCCCTGAGCTCAGGGATGAGGAGAAAGACGCCCATATTCATATCAACTGCGTTCCTTATGCAGATTGTCTCACTCTCCAGGCCGCTAGGCGCTAGGCGCTTGGATGCTTGGGCTGCCCGGTTCGAATTGTTTTAGCCTCTAGCCTTCGGCTTTCTGGTGCCCAGTACCTCCCTGGTCGCCACCAGCTGGGCGCAGCAAGCGAGGAGGAAGAGGCCACCAGAGAGTGCCCTAGGGCCCTAGGGCACCACCCAGGACCCCACAGAGCCCCGAGCACCCCAGCAGATCCGCGACAGGATTCGCATCCTCACATCATCTTGGCATATTGGCCCAAGCTAGTTCCCCATGGCTGGGGCAAGAGCCATGGGGGATCCTTTATTCGGCACCTCGTCCCGGGGGTCTCCCAGCGCGGACTCGCAGTCGGTGTCTGCCTGCCTTCTGCGAGACATGTTCGGCGGCTCGGATGACGAGGCCACTGAAGGTATGACGCTCTATGTTGAAGCCAGAGTTGCTGTGGACGTTCGGACCGTGGTCGCCGCCGCTGCGAGTCCGCAACAAGCCAGCCAGGGCGGTTTTGCAGCGGGCGTTGGCGCCGCTGGCGGCACCCGCAGAGCAGCGCGAGATCCAGACAGCATCGCTTCCTCCAGAGATAAGGGCTTGCAAGAGCCGTCGGCATCGCCTCCAGAGATCAGGGCCTGCGAGATCCAGACAGCATCGCCCTCTCCAGCACAGGTGCATCCAGCATCAGCATCGTCGCTTCCTCCAGGGGGCGTCGGAGACGGCGGAGCAGCTCGAGGGCCTTGCGGCGTGAACGTCTTGTCAAGGTCATGGCCAATGACACCATCAGCGCCGAGGGCGTCAATGGTGGTGGCATGGGCAAGGGGAACAATGACACATTTCCGTTCATCACAGATCGCCGGGGGCTCGACCTTTCACGCGGGGGACCGCCTACCGATGCTGTCGAGGGCCGAGCAGGATGCGGCGACGGTGGCGACGAGGCCTCTGGAGTTCGGAGCCCGAGGGCCTTTGCAGGGGTCGATGGCGGCAGCGCATTTCAGTTCGCGAAGGTCGCCTGTTTCGACGACAACGGCAAAACAGTGACAGCGCCTGCCAGGCGTCGCATGCGCTCGCGCAGCCGAGAAACGCGGCTTAAGATGATGTGGGAAGGCGCCCGGCAGGACGCTCGACAGGTGCTTAGTGATTGTCGCGGCATTCAATCGATGTTTGTACACCAGCCCCTCATCGACGTCGACGTTGGTCTAGTGATGAAGCGCGTGCGGCACCTACACGATCGTGCCATCGCCTCTGGGCGCTCCGTCTACATCGGCATGACGAGCGACCCTTCATGGCGATGGAATGGAGGATGGGGGTGGCGAGGAAACGACCGAAGCTTCATGCGCGGGCACAAGCTCAGCTACGATGAGATGCAAGCGGTCGCGTCCTTCCCCGACAAACAATGCGGAGAGGTTGAGAAGCATGTGATCGCGCACTTCCCCCGTGCTGACAACAAGGTCGCGTCGCAGCAGGGGCTTGCGGTCAGGCACTGCGCATACAGCTTCCTATATGTCTGTAGGACATTCTGAGCGCCATTTGCGAAGCTGCCCAGCTCCGCTGTCTTGTGCGTGCAGTGGGCACTACCCAGACGTGGTACGTGGTGGGGGAAGCTGCCCCGTTGACCGTTGACCGTTGACCAACAAGGGACATTGGGACAAGGGACAAGGGCCTCGAGTGCGCCAGTGCGCCAGTGCATCCAGCGAAACATTACAGAATTCCTATAGCAACTCGCAGCTCCACAGCAAGCCAGCAAGCAGCAAGCCATTTTGGCTTCCATTCTGTTCAGAGTTCAAGTTCCAAGTGCAAGCGTCACGCGCTACGCGCTACGCTCTGGATAAGATAAAGTAAAGCACAATCAGCACATGGATTTCGTTTCCGATCGGTCCAGAGCTTCGAGTTCCAAGTCCTGCTGCCCCTGCCTCTGCCCCTGCCTCGTCATCTCATCCGAGCCATCTCCTGCTGCCTCATCTCACGTTCTGCATATGGCTACCTGTGTAGTTCTCACTGGCTATTATGTCTCAAAAGCAGAGTCGCGCGGGCACCGCACATTCGTTAGCGAAGTTGCTGCAACAGACAGGTCACGCAGATCTGGGAGAGTGATGTACCAGTTCCAGCGGGAAATCGTAAGAAATCGTGACAATTCGACGGGACGGCGACGGGGATCATCTTTTGTGGTGGTTGGGCAAGCTGCACAACAACTGCTGAGGGCAGAAAGGATGGATTTGGATTGGTTGCTTCCATATCCTAAAAATGCCTCTCCAGCGGAGTTCAAAAGACGGAACGACCTGCTCGAAGATATTTATCGTTGGAAATGTCCAGGCAAGAAGCTCAAGGGCAGCAAGACAAGATTCGCCAAGCTGCCAGTGAAGTTCAAACACGTGCAACCAGTGAGAACTACCGTGGAGAATGATAACCTTATTCCGCTAGGCTGGGTGTCGTACTACGATTATGTGCCAGGCGCGTTGACGAAGATGCATTATCTCAACCCAGAAACTGGCGAGCGTGAGGACGATCTCCCGTTTCGACCTCACCTCTGGGACGACTGAGGCTGCGATGCAGAAGTGACAGAATCGCCAGTACGCTGCAACAGCCGCTGACCCAGTCTGCGCCAGGTCCCCTAAGCGTTTCCTCGCGGCAGCAACATATCGCATCACCTTTCCTTTCTCCTCCCTCGCGCCGTCCTTCCCACGTCTTATCTTAGTAGAGCACACACAGCATGTTAGAGATCCCTGGGGCCTCGAACCAGATCTGACACATGGCATGTTACACAACCAGTCCGGGCTCGGAGGCGCCACCAGGAGCTCTTATATGGTACGTTAGACATCCCATGGAGCTCTACATGACAACCGCTGCGAGGTTCCATTTATCAGATCACCCAGCTTTCCTGTAGCGCAAGCACCTCGGCTCAAGGCATTTCTTGCAGCGCCTGCAGGCTGCCATGCCAGAAATGGGGGGCAGCGCAGGGGGGCCTGGCCCATGTCCAGAAACCGTCATCATGGACCCTGACATTGGACCCATTGATGCTCCATGGCTACAAGTTCGCGAGTGCGTTTCGAAGACGAGTGGAGAACCTAATGAGCCCTGGTGGTTTTGTTCAGCGCGCGACAAATGTGCAGCCCCGACGCACCAGATTTCGCAGGACCACATCGAGAATGCAAAGGATACGCACCTCTGGTTCCATGATGCTTGTCCACAGGATTCTGATGAGGACAAGACCGCATGGTGCTCTACCATCATGAACACTGTGGAGCTCCACTCGAGCTACGTCCAGAAGCGGGAAGACGATGAAGCGGATGGGTGGAGGTCGACGAAGAAGGCCAAGCTCAAGGCCAGAGAGGGCAGAGGAGAGCAATGGCAAAGTGAAGGCCACCAGCAAGAAGCTGGAACAGCTGCAGGAGAGAAGAACAACTGGAAAAGCTGGAACAGCTAAAGAGCTGCGTCACCAGGAGCTGCAACAGCAGGAGCTGATACAGCAGGAGCACAGCAGCGGCAGCAGAAGCTTACGCAGCAGCAGCAGCAGCAGGACGTGCTAACCACCGTTATCACCACGATGCTCAATTTCTTGACCAACGCACAGAACGAGGACGAGAAGATGGATGAGATTCTGGCTCTCCTGCGGGCACAGGGGCAGACGCTCGCGGCTCTCCTGCGCGCGCAGGGCAACCTGCAGAAGAACGTCGAGGAGCTCGATCAGAAAGTGGAGGAGCTCAAGCAGAAGGAGAAGCAGCAGGACCAGTGAGCTCAGCAGCAGGACAAGTGACCTCGCATGGGCGTCTGGTAGCCGATGTCGGAGGAGCGCAGCCTGGCTCGCGCGCTGGCTCTTTCGCCGCGCTGACGCGGTGCGCCCGTGCAACGGGCAAACGAACAAGTAAGAGATTTATGGGAACTGGAAAAAATTGAGCGTGTTGAAGATCGGGGTCTCCTCTTGAGGCCCTGAGGGGCGAGGAATTTCTGGCAGTCTCTCTTGAGGCCCTGTGGGGAAGATAGCTCAGCTCCCAGGGAGCTATACCATACGATGTTAGAGGTCCCACGGAGTTCTAACATATCATGTTAGAGCTCCCACGGAGCTCTAACATACGATGTTAGAGCTCCATTGGAGCTCTACCATAATCTAGCATGCTGTGGAGCTCTAACATGCGATGTTAGAGCTCCCAGGGAGCTCTAGCATAATCTAACGTGCTATGTTAGAGCTCCGTTGGAGCTCTAACATGCAATGTTAGAGCTCCCTGGGAGGTCTAACATGCAAGGTTAGAGGTGCCAGGGG